ATAGATAGATAAAATATATAAGATTATATTCGATTAAGATAATAGGGCCATTTCTCATTCTTCCCAGTGGAACAATTCCATATACCTGTTGAGATTAGAAAAGAAAATGAGAAAATTTATCAAACAAGGTGCGATTTGATAAAACGAGTCATAATTATTTATATCTCTATTTATAAAAGGCAGGATGTGTGTGAGTGTGCAACGAATGCACTTTCGTAATTTTTGACGGATTTGCACTAACATTTACATGCTCATGCTCCAAGTTAGCGGGAAGGCCAAGTCCGACTTTGCATTTCCCGACTCCCATCGATAGTGGAAATAATCGATTTTTTCATGCTTCTACGGCAGTTTTCATGTAGTTTGCGGCCATTTTCTACTGACCAGAGTGAGAGCCTATAGGTGGCTGCCACGAATAGGCAGGAAGATTCTATTGGCCAGCGTGAGAACCAACAGCTGACTGACACGAATGTTAAAAAATCGATACCTGCATTCGTCACAAGTGGGAAAAATTTAAATCTGCATGGCACTTTACTCCAATTGGCTCATTCGCTTGCTTAAAACTCAACGTTGATTCTGATTCCGCAGAACTGGGTTGGGTGTGAAAAAGTATTTGTTGTTAACATGCTTTTTTATTCGGTTTTTCCAGTTACGAGTCCTTTTTAAAGCTGATCGTTTTTGTGTTCATTTTGTTTAGTTCTTTTTCGTAACAGATTTTATGTTTAGTATAGCTTAGAAAAAAATTCACAGTGTGAGATAGGCAAGAAGTAAGGCATGTAGCAACATCAGCACGGCAAACGGCACTCCTTTAAAAAATGGAAAGGCAAAAATATTTTAAGTCCAGTGATAGCGATTGCTGTGTGAGTCGTAAGATTTTTGAATCAAACACGGGCAACGCCGGGCCATGCTGCTAGTAATTGAATAAAAATGTAAATATACTTTTTTTTTTAAGAATAAAGTTTATAAGCAAAAATAGGAAATTATTGAAGACTCAACCTCACGGATATATGCTTACTTGTTGTAGGCATTTTTTAAATTATCTGTATTCACGGGGGTTCAATATATTCGAGGTTTTTACGTTTTTTTTATTCCTGGCTATAACTTGTTTTATTTACACTATTTATATTCGGACTATTGTCCTCATCTTTGTTGTCGTTATTACAACGCTTCGGTAGTTATGCCCTCCGGCCTTCATCAGGTGTATATCGGTCTGGTTAAACTACAGTGAATTCTGAACTGAACACTTTATTTAATCTACGGGGGTAGTCTGTTATCGTTCCATCTCCCATGTCTAAGGATGTCATCTACTTTTTTGTATTAAGTACCGTTCGGTTACTGCTCATTTGTTTCCATTGAGTGCTTGTACACACCCCAATCCAGCGATTGTATTTATCTAACTTGGTTTAGATACCCAAATAATATTGTCTATTTTCAGAAAATCTATTTCAGTATTATTAATTGTAATTATTTTTATTTAGTTATTTCTCAAGATTTTAGTAATGTTTTTGTGTATTTTTCTTTTTTTTTAAATTTTGCTTTATCATTTAAAAAAGTTTTAAATTCAGATTTACAGTTTTGTATGTGGGCGTATGTTTTGTGTATTTCGGATATGACATTTGTGTTGTTTTTGTCGACGAGACAAATTTTTATATTTTGTTTTGATCTTTTTTTTCCGTTGCATTTATTAATATGTTTTTTTTTTAATGGTGAAATTTGTTTATGGTAATTGCATCGATTTTTAATACCTTCGACTTTCAAGAAATCCGATAAGTTTGGGTGTCTTTGTTTGTTAGATTGTATCATTTGAATCTTTTATTTTTTATTTTTTTAATAAGATTTCAATTTTTATATATATTATTTTTTTTATATTTAGACCATATTTTGTGGAAATACGAAAATTAGGTCCTAAATTGAAGAATTCGTTTTGTTGTTCAATCCGTTTGTGATAAAAATAATTGATAGAATTTTTTATTTTATTTTATATAGGATGTTCAATGTTTTTATAAATTTCATGTATAATCTTTTTTCTTTTATTTATGATTTACTCGATTCTGTTTTGAATTTAATTATCTTGTTATATCTGAGAAAGACATTAGAACAATCGTGAACTTAACTTTGGAGGAAACCGCTTTTATACGAATAGAAAATGAATTCAATAAATGTACACAAAAGGAAGTAAGCGTAAGACAAGAACGTGTCTTCTTACTAGAAGTTTCTTCAACCATTACAGGTAATCCAAAAACAACTAGAAATTCTACCAGGATTTATAAATGTTGACACACTGTAAACAACATAAGATGACACCGTGTTCAGGGCAGGCACAGAAAATGTAGACGCGATAGTAAAGGAAATCAAGAAAAGACATGATATTGTTGTCAACAAACGGAAGAGCCATTATGCGTGTTACAAATTTAAGATGTCAGCCTCAAGCAAGTGCGGTAATCTAAATATATAAGGAACTGATTTTAACAGGGGGTGAAAAAATATGACATCAAAATCCGAATGTGCATTGGAAATGCGAAGGTAAGAGTGCAGGAATCTTATGTAATGTATTATAAATATTCTTCTTCTGTTAGGAAACTCCGCCAACATTTGTTGCCATATATGACAACAAATGTTGGCGGAGTTTCCTAACAGAAGAAGAGGATGTCAGAAGCAACAAAGAATTATTACTACAGAAAGAGGCTTAAAATATATCGGATAAATTGTCGCCCAAATGAGGCCAAAATGAAAATAACACTGACATCTCATTTTAACGGATATACAAGATGCGATGGACAAATTGTCGTCTAAAAGCCGCCGAAATGAAAATAATATTGATATCTCATTTTAACAGATATACGGGATGCGATGGATAAATTGTCGTCTGAATGACGCCTAAATGAAAATGACACTGATATCTGATTCTAACGGATATATGGGTGCGATGGATAAATTGTCGTCTAAATGATGCCGAAATGGAAAAAAACACTGACATCTCATTTTGACGGATATAGAGGGTGCGATGGATAAATTGTCCTCTAAATGACACCAAAATGAAAATAACACTGACAACTCATTTTAACAGATATTTTTGCCAAAATTACACAAAAATATCTTGAAATACTAAAGAGGACATTTATTCAATAAAATATTCAATAAATTATTCAATAAATTCAGACGACTTCGGTATCTCCTGCAACTCTACTGGACGGTCTCCTTGTTTAAATTGGTAAATGCTGCCATAATACTTGCCTTCAGTTCATCTTTGGTATTACAAGGAGATTTTTCTGGTCTCTCGATCTACTGCTGCCCACACATAATAATCAAGGATTTGGACAGTTAGTTGGCCAGATGTAACAAACATGGGTTCTCCTGTTTGCGTGGCATGTTGCTAGCCATAGAGTCTTCCAGCAGAGACCCTCTCGATCTAGGGCAGCTCTACCTCCTCAAGACACTTAATGTAGGCCTCCGTGTTGTCTGAGGCCCTCACCAACAAATTCGGGAGTTCTTATCAGAACGATCAGAATGAGTTTTTCGAGCTGCTTTACCTTCGTAACCACCATTAGACTAATCGAACTCTTTACGAATCATCAGTACTGTCATCATATTGACACTCACACACTCTGAAATTTTCGTATTGGATCTTCCGCTGCGAATGCCAAGACGTACAACATGCCATTTCCAAATTTCTGGCGGAGTGAAATGTTTCATAGTGCATTTTTTCTCACACATGGTGCCCAACTGATCCTACTATACTGTGCAGTCGACAAAATAAAATAAATAAAAAACAACGCGCATGCGCGAAATTAACTATATTAATTCTCTACAATTTACCCATCTCACCCTGTAATTAAACGAGGAAGTTTTAAGATTATTAGAAACAAAATGGTTACTGATATTTCGAATCTAAAAGGGACAGATGAATTTTCTAGGACTCATCATGGAGAAAGAACGCTTGGAAAGGTTGACACTCACAGGACATATCTCAAGCAGTGTAACGGAGGGAAACAGCAAGTAACTGACTTAACCTACCCTTGTTGTATGAATTTCTGTCGTAGTTACTTTAATTTCAATAAAATTATTTCACTAGTATGATTTCCATGATTTATGATTTATTAAAAAAACAATTATAAAACCTATCAACTGCAGTATTCTTATTAACTTTTCTCTTTAGTTCAGACGAGCAATTAGGTTCTAAAGTTGCTGTTTAATTTCCGAAACTGAAAATAATCAGAATTTGGACAATATTTATGAAATTTAGGCAATACATGTTAACTTGTTAGAAAATTGCTTAACAAAGAAATTTCACTGCTCGAATAGTCCTGGGTATGACGATAAACTACATCCGAGAGCAAGTCCTCTGATCGGGAGATTGGAGGCTTTCAGGAGCAGATAATTGCTGTTGTTTCCGACGTCCACCCTGTTTCACACGTGTTAGTGTTCTAGCTCGTGAGAACTGAAACAAAAACAAAATAGGAAAGTATAAAAATATGTTTTTCTAGTAAAAATACCAGCAATACATTTTTATATATAAAAAAAAGACTAACAATGCATATCTATATTAAAATGGCCAACAATATATTTTTAAAGCAAAATGAGAAGGAATACATTTTATCTGTAGTTGAAAGCACACGACTGCGTTCAATATGTATTTAGTTGAAGCCATAGCATTTTGTTCAAAATATTTAGATTATTAAATAACCTATAGAGATGGTGATATTCCGCTAAAGAAAACAAAGTACCAACTACTGCTCAGGGATACTTTATGTATATTGTCTGAAATCCCACATACAACATATAGAATTATGACACACAAACATACAAAAATCGGGGAGTATCATAGATTGAGGGCACGAAATCATTGCACTTTATTCTCTCTCTCTCTCTCTCTCTCTCTCTCTCTCTCTCTCTCTCTATCTATCTATCTATTTTTCATGTCTGTCTATTTTTCATATTTATCTATGCCTATTTTCTATTACTCTTTTCTATCTATCTATCTATCTATCTATCTATCTATCTATGTATTTTTCATGTCTATTTTTCATGTCTGTCTATGCCTACTTTTCTATCACTCTTTTCGTTCTATCTATCTATCTATCTATATATATATATATATATATATATATAATATATTTATTTAAAATATGATTCCAAATCCTTAATAAGAGGTCTCATGTTTCAAAAACATGAGACCTCTTATGTAGCGATTTGGAATCATATTTTTAAATAAATAATTATATTTATGCTCTACTTTTGTATCGAGCACTATTTTTAAAAATAATAACAAAAATACTAAGGAACTTTGGACTATTTACCTAACCAGTTCCTTCCTATTTTCTATATATTTTCACATATTATATATATATATATATATATATATATATATATATATATATATATATATATATATATATATATATATTGATCCCTGTGATACAGCAAACAGTCTCTCTGTAGATGACAATATATATGCTCCCGGGAAATCGAGTTGTGATCTCTTAAGAAAAGGGTAATTTTAAAAAAATAGTGGCTACTACTGCCATTAACGCATTGCTCTTCAACTGAATTGAGCTCTCTGGAACACTGGCGTATTTCGTATAGAAAACGTTAAAATCTCCGTTTCCCCCTGCCGTGCGACGATAGCCTAGAATGTCTGACTGATACCAAATCGGTCGGGTTTCGATCACGCCTTAAAGCAATCGGACATCTAGCCACACTGAAGAGCTGTGATACAACGAAACAGGCTGTCTGTGGATATATATATATATATATATATATATATAGTATATAATAATCTTATAAGTATAAGAAATTATACTGTTCGAAAACCTTCGGTGTCTTGATTTGCAAATAATCAAACCAATACCAAAGGGAAAAGGTATAAAAAAGAAAGAAACAAGAACATGTACGTTAGCCGAAAATAATCGCCTAGCATGCAAGTCCAAAGCCCAAAGAAAAAAAAACCCGATGCGAGTATGCAAAATAACTAAATAAAGTGCTCAATACGGTAATTAGAGCAGACCTAGCTAAACCTAGAGAGTCAGACAAACCTACCAAGGTTTCACGTAAGCGGATCGTCAGTGAAGGCTGGCTAAAAAGGTAACAAAAGAACGGAATACTTCACTGACGATCCGCTTAGGTGAAACCTTGGTAGGTTTATCTGGCTCTCTAGCTATATATATATATATATATGTGTGTGTGTGTGTATGTGTGTGTGTGTGTGTGTGTGTGCATGTAAAATATAGAAACAAATGAATTCCATTAGGCTTATATTATTATTTGAATTGGGATCAAACACAGATGCAATATGCATCGGAATCAGACAGAATGATAGGATGAAGAACATAATGAAAACGTCTATAAATCTGACATGTTTCGCATTTTCTAAAACTTCATCAGAGAATGCGATGTGTAAAAAAAAAGTATTTCCTTAAACAACATTAATGATACTTTGCATCGTTTCGGTCAGGTACTGAGCTGTTAGGTGACGTCTATCCTTCTTTACGGCAGCAAATGTTTGGCGACTTCCTAAAAGATGAAAAAGAAACGCGAGGCAACAGAGATGTGGTTCTACAGAAGGATGCGGAGGATATCATGGGCCGAGCGTGTGAACAACTATTTGGTCTTGGAGAGGATGCAAACAAGGAGGAGTTTTAAGTTGAAGTTTCTGGGACACGTAATGAGGAAGGAGGACCTGGAGAATCTGATACACACGGGTCGAACAGATGAAATATAAGGGAAGACAATACGTGACATACCTGGTGGGCTTAATTAAGTGGATGACAGAGGTGGTCTGGGGGAGGAAGCAGGCAGAAGGAGCTGCAAGGGATAGAGGGAGGTGGAGAGCCATGATTGTCTACGTCCTGAAATGACATGGCACATGAAAAGAAAGTCATGGCTTTTGCTCAGGTGAAAAGTGGTGTTTATACAATGAAAATGTTCAACTACGCCATTTTTCTGAAAATTAAAATTCTCCCCCCCCTCTGTCTTCTGGATTTGTCATGGCACAAATGTTTTTTTTAGAAAACTGTGGATGTACATTTTTGGGATGCCCTTATAGAAAGCATATACTGAAATAGAAACTGTTCCTCAGCGTTAAACATATCCCTGTATGTGTAGAATCCTAAGTGGATTTCAATTTTTCTCTTTTTTTTTTTTTTAAATAGCCTCTTAATTACCCGGCTGATGCGTAGGGTGGTGGCTGTTGTTAGTTCGCGTTTGAACCCGCGTTTTTCTGGCTAGTGCATTTATCTTAGATCAAAGTAAAAATCACAGTTAAAATTGGCAGCTCGCAAAAGAAAATTGGATTAAACAAATAAAACAAGAAAAAGGTATATTGCATCTAATTACGCTTTGTTATTGATATCCACCTTGTGAAAGATTGAGTTAAGCTTAGGAAATATATTCACCTTCGACGAGAGAATAAGATGATCAAATTTATTGTACAAATAGATAAGATGAAATATGACACAACGGAACCAGGAAGTGGTCAGAACAACCACGTAGCACAGTAAATGATTTTATCTGACTCTAAAGTGCAAGGTGCTTTTTTATGACCAGCAGTAAAGTCTCCGAAATAAGATCTTCAAAACGGCCACCTATCGACCAAAAGGGAATAAAATAAAAAGATAAATAAATGAAAACTTTTGGGAACACGTGCCACTTGGTCGGAAGATACTGAGTTTCACTTGCAGTCTTATACAAACAGTCACAGTTAGAACTGAAAGTATTTATGATGTATACTTGTTGATGTGATACAGGCTATCAGTTCTGGACTTGCCGACGGGGAGTTGCTAGCTCCGATATTTTTACGTTAATTTCCTTGTGAACGTAAAGCAGATATTTCTCATTTCTTTCCCTAGCAACACAGACAGGAATCAAAACACAATCCAGCTGCTTTTTAAAAGTCAAACTTAAAAAATTGTAGATAGGTATCATTCTGAATAGAAATAAGAAAAGCAAACCTCGTAGAATATGTATAGAATGAATTTTATCACCATTTGGAGACAGGGTCTTATTTGGAGTTTCAGTGCCAAAAACGGAGCCCCTTTCAAGTGGTCTCACTTGGAACACACAAAAAAAAATAGATGTAAAATCACAGACCACAACAATTATAGTAAACGCCATTGAACGTCCCAGGTGTGCAAGAAATGCGAGAAGCAATCTGATTGGCTGGTACAAAGACCAGCCAGCTAATCTCGAGGCTTGTATTATCGGGCCGATGGATGGGCCCAGTCGTCTTCTCCGTCATTCGACTTTTCAGCCAATAAACAGGCCCTATCGTCTCCTAAGGATTGAGCCAGCCTTTTTCTCCTGTTTGTTTCTTCAAATAATCTCCAAGAGCCACTCAGTATTTTCCACTCTCAACGTGAAAAACAGTTTACAGTTCTAACCTCCAAAGTGATAGCCAAATAGATTAAAATAATGTGAAGTCAGTATAATATCCAGATATTCTTTTTCATTCATAAATCTATATTGTGCAACCTCTTCAAAAAAATCAAAATTCCACAGTAATAAAGATATCACAAAAACCTATACATAAATTATCCCGTGCAGCTGTGGTTTGAAATATTCAAGATAATGTACGATTCGATGAGTCCCCTGAACATCCACGTAGAAGCAATCTACGAAGTAACACCTTCAAGGTGGCCACCTACCTGACCAACAGCGAATAAAATAAATAGATACATAAATGAAACCTTTCGAGAACAAGTGCTATTTGACCGGAATTTATAAACTTCATCTGTTCGGCTTATATAAACATTAACAGTACTGAATGTAATTTCGATGCATGCCTGTGTGTTGGGTACATACTCTCCGTCAGAAAGAGTTCCAAGACACTCGTTTCATTGGGCAAGTTGAGGGGTGGTAAGAGCGAATCCCTGCTGCCGAAAGAAAGAACTGATCATTTAATCTGTCTTCTTAGAATGAGCTGAAGTTCTTCCGAGTGTGACCTAGCTACCCGATATATTGCATAAATGTATTCTTGAATAAACCAGGTAAATATATGGTAAACAAGATTTGGGTTTTTCATTTCTTGAGTTGGCATCATTTTTGCCTTTCCTTTCTCTAGTCAACGTGTAACAAGACTTCCCTGTGCTTTTTTTTATCTACGCCGACACGAATTAGTGTGTAGAATTGCCCCGTCATTAAAAGATACAGTATGGGACGTGTTCTATTCAAATTATTTTTAAATTTCAAAAGCAAAATACACAAGAACGAGATAACATCAAATTAAAATGAGACTTGTGAGTTTACCCTGATTAACCAATTAGGTATCAGATCCAGGCTAAATTAAAAGAATAACCTAAAAAATAAGAGTAATTTTAGCAAGGTTATTCTTGATTACGACAACCATCAGATGAAACGGCGACCCAGATTTTTTTTTAGAGTGGACTGGTTCCACAGATGCCATAAATTGGTTCAGTTGGATTAATAATAAGATTAACTGATCTTTCATTCAATTTGATATCGTGAAATTTTTCCTATCGCCTTCCAAGGACCTGTTCACCTTAGCTTTGGAGTCTGCCAAAGAATATTTCAATATTTCCAACGGTGAACATGATATAATAATGAACTTCAGAAGATCTGTTTTTATTCAAAATAATGAACCGTGGGTTAAGAGCAATTCTGATGATCACTTTGATATTTATATGGGATCATTAGATTCTGCAGAGTCTTCTGATCTGTTTATTATATATAATCTGACTGCTTATGATGATTTTAGTGCTGATAATATAAGGTTATATAGAGACGATAGTCTTATGTTAGTAAGAAAATTCTACTAAAATTAAATTTAACAAATTAAGTAAAATGATACATAGAGAATTAAAAACCTAAATCTTAAAGTTAAAATCTCTACACATGTTAAGCAGGTAGATTTTCTAGATGTTACGTTAGATCTTGTGATCTTGCCAAACCCAATATATATTCAACCGAATTCTAACCATTCTACAACTGTAATTAAACGTATACCCTCTTCTACAGAATACAGGATAGCAATAACTCTTCTACTAAAAAT